CACTCCCCCCTTCCCCTTCTTCCCTCTCTAAAATCAATAAAAAATAAGTAAAAAAAAAAAGTTACAATAGACTCACTCAGTGCACTGTTTCTATTCTACCGAGGATTTCTTTTTACTATCTAGGGAACTGATTTTTTTTTCTAGCATGGGTTGCAGGTAGTAGTACTCTTTAGTGAAATGAAATCTGATATATGTTACAGGTTAGTTAACATATAAGGCTGGGAATTTTTATGATTTTTTAAAGTTGTTTGCTAGCAGTTGTTGTTGTGGTGGTTACTAGTAGTCCCTTTTGTCTTGTTGGATCCAATGAAGTAGATGTGGCCAAATGCCCAAAGGAAAAGCTGTGTGTGTGCGTGAATATGTGGAATGTCTCCATGGGCATGGTAGAAGGATTTTTCTAATATAAGTGTCTATCTGTCGTTGACAAATGTATTTAATGAAGTTAGAGATATTCAGTGAGCATCTATAATCTTCAAGGATAACATTGATCAAAGAAGGCAACTAATGGTTACCTATAATTATCTTTGTCAAAGAGTGACTGGTAGGCTAAAGAGATCATGGATTGACCCCACAACGTATTTTACATATTCTTATGCTAAGAGAATTTTGACTTCTCATATATCTTTTAACTTGAGGAATTTGTGTTATAGCAGGAAAACACATCTACTGTAAACCTTTGTCTAAATAACTATTAGAGAATTTTTCCTCTGGCAGGAAGTTAGTTTGAGGAGCACAACACATGGGGATTAAGGAAGAAAGTGCCCACCTAGTCATTTCTGTTACATTAAATAGACCTTGTTAGTAGAGGGGCAGACTCCTGTTAGTGAATCAGTGAATATGTGTGTGACACATACACACGCACAAACACACCAATACTTTATCTGTGAAGCAGAGCACAGGATGTGTGGAGCATTGGGTCAATCGAAAGAAGAGACTGCAACAATTTAAGTAAATACATAGGCTACTAAGAACACAGAAGAGGAATGAATAAAACTGTTTCTCTCACTGAAGAAAACTGGGAACATTTTAAAGATGTAGCTCTTTTCAACCTTTTCACCTTTTTAAAATAATTTAAACTTTTCTATATTTTTCTGTCGACTGATCTGGGTAATCCTGTTCCTTTCAGCCATAAAGCTTATTGCAATCAAGTGTAATATAAGGAATTTCTTTTGCTGGCTCTGTCCCTTCATTGTCCCCCATCCTGGAAAATCCCTCAGTACTAGACAGACAGGCTTCTAGGGGTGGGAGTGTCAGGGAGGAAACGGATGGGAATGTGAAGTCCTGAAATCTAAAGAGAAGGTTTCTTCCTGTTGAAGAATGTTCACTGCAGCTAAGAGATTAGTAACGTCAGTAACCCAGTAACTGTGCTTAGTGGTGACTTAGAGATTAGTATTAAATGGATCCCTGTTTTTTTGTCCTGCATTCTCCAGATAAGTTGGAAATAAGACGGATGCCATAATGATTTTGAGCCCTCCTTGATCATAGAAGGACATTTTACCTGCAGTGGGTTTTAGTTCCAAGGACACTCTTTTTCTTGGTCTGGGTAACCTTATTTTAGCAAGTGGAGATATGAACATTTTAACTTTCAGATTTTACTTGCCTTTGTGCAATTACAGACTACTTGAAACATTATTTGTCTATATCTATAGTTACTACTTAGAGTAAGACTTCCTGTAACATACTTGGCAGACTAATTTTGGGTTTTACTTTGCCTTGCTGTCTTTCTCCCCTTAGTCTTGTTCTTCATTTCTTATCTTCCAGAGAGGTGTGGGAAATGGAACTGGATAGACTGAAGAATCAGGATGGTGAAATAAATCAGAACATTATGGAAGAGACAGAACGGGCCTGGAAGGCAGAGGTGAGAAGAGTTGCTATATTGAAGGCTTTGATTTTGGGCTTCCCGATGGTAAATCCTTTTGATATAGTATTAACCAGTAAGCCATGTAAGTATTACACCATATAGTCACTAAGTATTTTGTTAACTAAGCTCTGTGTATTTAAAATTAATCAAGTATGTGTGTGTGGTTTTCCTAGATCTTATCACTAGAGAGTCGGAAAGAATTGCTGGTGTTGAAGCTAGAAGAAGCTGAAAAAGAGGCAGAGCTGCACCTTACTTACCTCAAGTAGGTATCGTCCCATTCTAGAATGTTAGTGGTCCTGCAGTGTTTTGGATTTTGTTTTGATTTCTTTAGGGTTTGAAACCCTAGGCCAGCTAGTCTGGCACTTGCTGTATCATCACGGGAATTTCAAGGTCATCCCTGTCTGTGCAGTAGTAATTGTTCCGTGATTTCTCTTCCTGTATCCTAACTTCTGCATTCTCTAATTCTTCCTCTCTGCAGTCTTCTCGTTGTGTGTTTTCTATTGTATTATTCCCAGTTGTATAAACAGTATCTTTTATGCTATGGAAGCATATCAAATATCCTTGGCGATTTGTTTCTTATGTAGTCATTTCTCTTCTTGCCATGGAATCTGCAGGACCCTGTGGCCTTCTCAGGCAGATAAGACCCCTGTCTCAGTGGTTGGTTCTCTTTCTCCAATACTTGGCTTAAAAGATGCTGGAGATAAAGTGAGGCACACGACCTGGCCTTCTCTCCGGTCCATTGGCCATTCCTTTTAGGCTGTCTCAGAGCGTTGAGAGTTAGGTTTTCTTTAATTCTGTAAATTCCTGTTGGTTTCTTGAAAGGTCAACTCCCCCAACACTAGACACAGTTCGTTCCAAACAGGAGTGGGAGACAAGACTGAATGGAGTTCGGATGATGAAAAAGAACGTTCGGGTAAGTGTAGTAATGGGGAGCATTGAGTCTGAGTTAGGCTGTGCTTAAGCTGGTGAGGGGCAGGGACCTTCTGCTTTGCCACGAGAGCTTATCTACCGCTCCCTCTGTTTTCTTCAGACTGGATGGTGGGTGCTTCTTTCTAGGGAGGCTCACTCAGCTCGGCAGTGAAGGGTCATCCCTTCCTTTCCTCCTTTCTAGGACCAGTTTAATAGTCACATCCAGCTAGTGCGGAATGGGGCCAAGCTGAGCAGCCTTCCTCAGATCCCTACTCCCACTCTGCCTCCGCCCCCGTCTGAGGTAAGAATGCAGGTTTTGGGTAGTCCGGCTTTCTGTGACAAAACCAGAGTCCTTCACTTGTTTTTGTAAAGAAGATACTGGGTATTGTTGGTTTTATTTGGTTTAAGAGTTGCTCATTGATTTCTCCCTTTCTCTTGCATCCTCCACCTCTTCCCCTCTGCAGACAGACTTCATGCTTCAGGTGTTTCAGCCCAATCCCTCTTTGGTTCCTCGGATGCCCTTCTCCATTGGGCAGGTCACAATGCCCATGGTTATGCCCAGTGCAGATCCCCGTTCCTTGTCTTTCCCAATCCTGAACCCTGCCCTTTCCCAGCCCAACCAGCCTTCCCCACCCATTCCTGGCTCCCATGGGAGAAATAGCCCTGGCTTGGGTTCCCTTGTTGGCTCCCATGGTCCACACATGCCCCCTGCCGCCTCCATCCCGCCTCCCCCAGGCTTGGGCGGTGTTAAGGCTTCTACTGAAACTCCCCGGCCCCAACCAGTAGACAAACTAGAGAAGATCCTGGAAAAACTGCTGGCTCGGTTCCCACAATGCAATAAGTAAGTATCTTTAAGGACTAATAAAAATTTGTCAGAGGGGCATAGGAGAGGTTTTATGGATATTCCCTACGAGTATCACATAAAATATCTCCCCCTTTTTTAGGGCCCAGATGACCAACATTCTTCAGCAAATCAAGACGGCACGTACCACCATGGCAGGCCTGACCATGGAGGAGCTGATCCAGCTGGTAGCTGCACGACTGGCAGAACATGAGCGAGTGGCAGCAAGTACTCAGGTAAGACAAGGTACTGGGGGGAGAGTGCAGACCTGCTGAGATGTTGAGGAAGAGGCAGTTTTGAGAAAAACTTGGGGAGGGAAGCATTTGCTGCAGCCAGGAGTGCCTAGTCTGCTTTCTTCCTTTGCTGGGCTGGGAGCTAAGTGATTTCTTTAGTTACATGCTCTGTGACTCAGACTCTTTCCTTACTCTCACAATGTTTCTCCCACAGCCACTCGGTCGGATCCGGGCCTTGTTCCCTGCTCCATTGGCCCAAATCAATACCCCAATGTTCTTGCCTTCTGCACAAGTTTCATATCCTGGAAGGTCTTCACATGTAAGACTCATTTTCTCTGAAAACTAGGATGTAAAGGTGGGGAGTGATGTCAGTGGGAGGGGCTGGTTTACAGATGGAGGGTAGGAGGAAACCATTTCTCATCAGCCGGGTTGTTGGCAGCCACAACTGGGAAAATGTAAGCACTTTTGGCAAGAATCTGTATTTGAACTTTTACTTCTTCTGGTGTAAAATCTTTTTGTTGAATGGAAACACTAGGTGGAGTCATGGGCATGAAAGGGAAGGAGACCCAGAGGTTTCTTATTGTCTTACCCTTTGCCCGTCCTCCTCTGTTCTGCAGGCTCCAGCCACCTGTAAGCTGTGTCTCATGTGCCAGAAGCTGGTCCAGCCCAGCGAGCTGCATCCAATGGCATGTACCCACGTGTTACATAAGGAGGTGGGTGCTACATTCCTTCCCCATTTCCAACTCTTTATTTACTGACAACTGAGAATTTCTCTTGCACATTTTAGTGTTGATGCTCAGCATTAATATCTAAACATATTGCCCTGGCCAATGTGCCAAGTGGTTAGAGCCTCAGCCCGTGCCTTCAACCCCCACTCCCTCCCGGGTCTGGGCATGTAGAAATATCCTCAGGTGAGAATTAACAAAACAAAACCTAAACATAAGGTTTTTAGTAACTTGTGGCTTAAACATCAGCAGAATTTAGAATACTGCAGCTGGGATCTTCCAGCTTCCTTTTACCCTGTTCCCTTAGGAGACTTGATAAGCAGTTCGTACCAGAGCTCTGAAAGGTCACTTTCTTGAAAAACTGACAATAAGATATACATATCTAACTGTTGTTTCAAATATAGCATTGTCAGAAGATTGCTTAGATGAGAGAAATGGAATAAAGAGCCTGGGTATGAAATTAGTAACTCCATTAACACATTGTATGCGGGTAGTTTTCATCAGGCGCTAACAGGTGGCACGTGGCGCGGGCCATTTTTGCTAATTTTTTTTGCGAAAATGGCAACGTTCAGTAAAATTATGATAACTTTAGTTTACGTATTTATACATTACCCGCATTCTACCGCTAGTCTATAAAAAAAACGTATTAATACGTGTCCTGCTCTCTACTTACTCCCAGTCAACGTAAAACGTATAAATACGTTTCCCGCATTCAATGTGTTAACAGAATTGAAGTCTATTAGAGATTATCTTTCCACACTGACAATCATTCCCATCACTTACTGTTACCAAGCAGAGTTAATAGCAGCAAGGATGATTCCTTTTTTACTATATTTTGTTCATTGTGTTTTAACAGTAGGTAGAAACTGAATTTACATCTAAGTTCTTGGTAAGGGAAAATCCTGAATAAGATTTTAGGTGATGTGTATTAGCAGATGGAAGTTCATCTAAGCCTGAATGGATCATTAGAAGGAACAAGCCTGGATATTCAACAAAAAGCAGCTGCACACTGTTATTAGCAGGTTGTTAATGTTCCCTATGAAAGGACAGGTCCACCTCTGAAGATTCTTTTGGAGGTGACTTAGTAAATAGTCCTTAGACCCATTGAACCGTAATAGCACTCCTTCCCTCCCTCCCTCCATCTTTCCAGATAAACCTGAGGTGTGTCTTTCTTTATTTCCAGTGCATCAAATTCTGGGCCCAGACCAACACAAATGACACTTGTCCCTTTTGCCCAACTCTTAAATGATGGACCTGATTGGGGAGGAAGAAGAGAAGCTGATGTGAACAGGAAGCGCGGGTTCAAGATTTCTAAAACTCTATATTTATACAGTGACATATACTCATGCCATGTACATTTTTATTATATAGGAAATGTGTGTATAGAAAGTCTGTATTCAAATGTTCGTAATGAAAGTATGTATATTATGGAAAAATGGTCTGTCCCCCTCAGCTTGCAATTCCTTTAGGGGGATGCAGATTGTAGCTAAGATGATATTTAGTTTGGCCTTGAAATTATGATATTCCTGCCTAAGGCTGTTTTCAAATACAATATAAAAACCATTAGGAAGCTGCTGTGGCTCTAAGGCTATCCTGCTTTGATTTGGCTCAACCACTAGTCCATTTCCTAAGGCTCATGTGTGCAGATTTGAACGTTGGTGCTCACCCTCTGTCCGGCCGGCTGCCTTGACTACGGAAAGCCTTTGGAAGCCTTGGTGTCTTAGCAACTCTCCAAACGGATGAAATGAGACTGATTGAGGAAAAAAATGTAAACCTAAGAGTTTGACTTTTCACTGAGTATTTTACTGTGTTAATGCTTATGTTTTGTACATAGGCTTTAGGTTTACAGAATATTCTGTTTTACAACAGCAAAATTCACAGTCCAAGAGTAACAGCATAACCAGGTCCCAGTTCCCCACGCCCTCATTCTGTTCACCCCACTTCCTCAGTAGTCGTCTCTTCAGAAACTAGCACCATCTGAAGGTCTGCTCCGGAAGCCACCCCTTGCCACCACCGACGCGGCCAGCCTTACAGAGGCCTCCCTCTTCCCTTCCCTCTGGTCTTCTTGTCTGGCTAACCCTCCCCCTGAAGGCTAGGCAGTTTTTCACAGCCAAGTTGTTTGGTGACTTGGATGCGCTCCAGGCAGGCACAGTTGAGGAGAGATGACTGTGCAAAATTATTTTCAGAATGATCTTGAGATGCTGGGCTTTCATTCTTGAAGCAAGAGAGCTATGGGGGACACGTGTTCTGCCCCGGGGAAGATGGAGACCCCAGTGCTGGGAAGGGAGGTGGGTTTGAGGTTGAGAAGCCACCCAGAACCAGATCAGTGTTTCCCTCTGCCACTGAGCTTTTCTGGGGCTCTGTTAGAGCTTTCGCATCCTCTTACCTTTACTCTTACCAGAAGTGGCTTCAGCACTCTTCTCTGTGGAATTAAACAACTAAAAACGAAGTGTTAATTTTTTTAAGAATAGCTCCAGGGGAAGGAGATTAATATATCACCAACAGCTGAATTTTTTCATTTCTGGGACCTGGAAATGCTCGCTTGCACTAGCAGTGCACTAGGGTAGCAAAGACTTTTCCTTGCATGTCCATCTAAATTCTCTCCTCTCCGTTTCTGCTACTCTTTTCCTTCTTTGTTTCATCCTTGCCTGTCAGCTCATGGACATACTCTTTCTCTTCTCCTACTGCCCCGGTTTGTTAACTGGCATTAGTGTGAGGAGCTAGATCTCTCAAGAGCTCCTTGGCATCTTGTAAGGTCACTGAGATGGCCTGCATACGCCCCTCTGCAGAGGTCAGATACCTACTTGCCTTGGTTGATGGGACTTGCATGACTCCAGTGCGGTAGCTGTCGGGGTAAGGGAAGGCGCCAATGGAAGACTAGCTCCTTTGTTCTTTCCCTGGGGGTGGGTTGGGGGGGGGGGTCATTTTCATCTTGTTATCTTAATATCTTATTTCCCTTCAACTTTTCAGCAGCCCATGGCCACCTGCAGTGCTTTTCAGGAGGTATAAAGAATATTCTGTTCCTTTTCCACAAATCTTTGAAGCCCAAGGAGGAAGTAAGGGGCTTAACTGCTTCCTGGTAGAAACCTGGAAAGCCATCTGTAGCTGGAGGACAGTGTGGGGAGAGGCGTGCATGGACCTGGGGCCGCATCGCTGCTCTCTTCTTAGTCAGGGTCAGTCAGAAAGCAGCCCTGAGTCTGGGCCAGCCTTGTTCTCCCTCTGTCCCTTCATCCCTCTGTCCCTTGGCCTGCAATGCTAAAGCCATGCACACCAACAGGAAAGGGCCTAGTGCAGTGAAGAGAGATGGGACAGTCATTTTTCTGGAATAGATTTAAAAATAGAGATATAGAATACATATTTTACAAGCAAGAAGCTGTTGTCAAAGCAAATTTTTTTTTACACGTAGAGTTTGTAGTTCCAGGATAGAAAGGAAGTTACTCTTAAAAGAGAGCCCAAGTTTTCTCTGAAAGGAAAAGAGGACAGTGGGGCTCGCTAATGAAGGGGCTGACTTGTGTGCCCTGGGAAGAACTGGGGAAAGCCAGTTTTCCCAACATGGGTAGAAATTATAAAGCAGAATGCGGCATTTTTATTTCACGGTAACAATTCTGGAAGTTTATTTACACAGTAAGTTCCGAGCTGGAAGCGGACAGTCTCCAGTCTTCCTGTCAGTCTGTGTGGTTCTGGGGTCTTCCTGTCAGCCAAGCAGCACCAGGTGCAGGGGAGTGAAGAGACTCCAGATAGAAACTACGACTCGGTGTTGTTGATTTATTGTGTATGGCTTGTGGCAGCTGGCTGAAGCTAGGATTCCAGGGGCCCTCCCTGTAGTTCCCTCTCCCTCAGGTAATTCACACTCAGCAGGCCCCTTACCTGGAAGCAGGGTGCAGACCACAGAGGAATGAGGCCCAGTGGGTATACCGGGGAAATTTGCTCTTTCCACTAGCACTGGTATCATAGTTGACTGTGTTAGAGCGGATAGGAAATGAACTTCGTCCCCAGTACTTAGCGCAAGAACTAGCCTGGATACCCAAGTACTATTAGGAGTGGGGAGTAGAGAGCAGGACAGGAGAAAAGGAAATTGAGGGGCTCTTGTGGAAAAGGAAGGAAGTCGAGGCCCCATCCTTTCTCCAGGCAGCCTGGACACTGAAGGTGACGGTGCTATAGTCAGCGAGCCCTATGTTCTGGCATTCTGGCTCCAATACTTGTGCCACTGGGGATGCCTTAGCCAAATACGTGGCGGCTGAGACCTAGGGTGAGAAGGCAATGAAACGGCTCTGTGTTATGTAAAGATCTTACAGCTGAACAGGAAGAACTCCAGGCGGGTGAAGGGCATCACCCCTGTGCCCGTGAAATGAATCTTCAGGATTCCGCTTTCGAGGATTATTAGGTAGGAGAGTGCTCCTGTCTATTCTTCTTAGCACCTCAGCTGCAGAGCTCCGAGGTCTCAGGTTTGGGGGAGGGAGTGGAGAGGTGCCCAGGAAGACGAGGCCCAGCCCCGCTCAGTTGCTATGTTCCCATTGCTTTCCCAGAGGACGCCTGGGGTTTGGGAGGGTTGGGACGTTACACGGTTACCGAGCGTTTGTAGAGCAAAGCGTCCAGGTAGAGACAAGTGGAATCAATAAGGTAGAAATTCATTTGTTAGATGGAACTTCTTAGTGGACACTTTTAATTTAAGAGCTAAAAAGAGCTTTTTGGCAAATAAGCCCTTCTTCCCACCTCCCTTTTGATAGGCTGCAAACACAGCAAAGAAAACTCTGGGAAGCAACACCTGTTTACGAGAGGGTTCTGTCTTGGAGGTGAAGCCTAAAACGGGAGCTGGCGGTGTCCTTTCTACCTCTCCTGCTTCCATCCCAGTGTCCCCTGTCTTCACACTCCCTCTCTTCCTCTTCCAACCATTTGTACAAACATTCAGTCAGGTTATTTTTTTGTTTAATTCAGGAGGCAGTCTTTGCACCAATGTTAAGCTCATTGATACAGTTCCTATCTCTAAAGCAAAAGCTAACTGCATTTGCTCCTACTGCCTTGGGCCAGCAAGGAAGCAAGGCTGGGCCCTGTAGACACCCCGGGGTGACCGGTGGGATGCCCCCACTCTGGAACTAAGGAAAGAGGAATGCTTTGGGTTGGAGGGTTGGAAGGGATGGTGGGCAAAGATCAGGGCTGAAGTTTCAAGCAGCAGAATTTCCCAACTCAAGTTTGAGGTGACATATTCCTGCCACCAGAGCGTGTCTCTTCCCTGTCCTGTTTTCTGCAGGTGCAGTCCCTGCAACCCACCTTGCCAGCTCCTCCTCCTCTGTCAAGCAGAGGCATTTGGTGGGTGGGTAAGGGTCCTGAGGTGCTCTGGCCACAGGTGCCATCTCTTTCTTTGTGACCAAGTCGAACCAACCACCCAGATGGTCCAGGGGATGCTCTGTCTTCTGCTCATGGGCCTCCTCACTTCAGCAGGGAGATGTCATCAGCAAAGTCATCGTGCTGGTGGCGCAGACAGCGGAGGCAGCGCCACTGGCACACCATGAGGCAGAGTGGCAGCATGAAGAGGGCGCAGATGGCAGCCATGACGTAGGCTATGGTCATGAGGGTTGACTCGTCTGTCTGTGGGATGTTGTAGCCACAGTCCATCATGTCCAGGGTGACAAACGGGCCTTCCACCGCCGCTGTCCTGAACTCGTCGTGCACTGGAGAAAGGGCAGATGTGAGCAGGCAGTTCAGTGTCACACTGCAGTTTGGATTATGCAAGAAAAGGACTTCCCGACCGGGCCTTGAAATTGGCCCCAGGAGGCTTTAGAAAGCAGTGCCAGGTGGAGGCACATCTCCTCCAGGCCACAGAGAACAGCGACCTTTTGTTTGTTAATCCTCACTCGATATTTTTCCATTATTTTTTTTAGAGAGAGGAGAAGGGGGAGGGAGAGAGAAACATCGATGTGAGACACGTCAATTAGCTGCCTCCCACACATGCCCTTGCTGGGGCTGGGAATCGAACCCATGACCCTTTGGTGTATGGGCCAGTGCTCTAACCACTGAGCACCCTGGGCAGGGCACCCGCTACCATTCTGAAATGGCATTTAAGCTCCCCTCTGGCAGGTGGCAGGGACACTGTAGCCTGCTGCTCTTGAGCTCCTCCAGGTGCCTGGCAGCTCTTGCTGCTCCTGGCATCTAGCAGAAGCTCCCAAGCAGGCAGGGTCACCACGCCAGGCAGTGGGAAGCTTAGGCACTGCCTCTGGCTTTGGCACAACCTGTTGACTCTGGCTCGAGGCAACTGTTCCTCCCTCCCAGACTGGCGGGGCCCAGATCTGCTGCCTGCTGGACAGGGGGGACATGGATAGACTGACCCACACCCTGGCGCTCACCATGGCAAGCGCTGACAGCAAAGCCGATCCGCTTTCTCGCCCGATCAAAGACCACGTAGAAGCCCTCCATGACGACAGCTCCCAAGACGGTGCCCGTGGACGACTGGGAGACGGCGAACTTGTAGCAGTCGTCTTGGGATGTGGCCACATCCTCCACTGGCCGCAGGTATTGCTAAGGATAAGGAGTCAAAGCGTCAGAGTGTCTTCTTCCTCGCTCCATCCTGCACCCCACC